TGTAGGAGGACTTTCATTAAGGGCCTCTCATAGGAGGTGACAAAGACTACTCTGCTGCAAGTACTACACTGTGGATCTGTTTTTTTCCCCCAGTTAATAGTATTTTATTTTTTCCAATTAAATGTCAAGATAATTTTCAACATTCATTTTAATAAAATTTTGAGTTCCAAATTTTTCTCCCTCCTTCCCTCCCCTCCCCAAGACAGCAAGCAATCTGATATAGATTATACATGTATAATCAGAACAAAAGGGGAAAACAACAAGAAAGAAAAAAAACAAAAAAAGGAAAAATAGTATGCTTCAATCTACATTAAGACTCCATAGTTCTTTCTCTGGCTGTGGATAGCATTTTTCATCATAAGTCTTTTGGAATTGTCTTAGATCATTGTATTGCTGAGAAAAGCTAAGTATCATAGTTGATCATCATGCAATATTGCTTTTACTCTGTGCAATGTTCTCCTGATTCTGCTCATTTTACTCAGCATCAGTTCATGTAAGTCTTTCCAGGTTTTTCTGAAATCCCCCTGCTCATCATTTCTTATGGAATAATAGTATTCCATTACATTCATATACCACAACTTGTTCAGTCATTCCCCAAGTGATTCCCCTCAATTTCCAATTATTTGTCACTACAAAAAGAGGTGTTATAAATATTTTTGTATATGTGGGTCCTTTTCCCTTTTTTATGATCTCTTTGGGATACAGACCTAGTAGTGGTATTGCTGGATCAAAGGGTATGCATACCTTTGGGCATAGTTCCAAATTATTCTCCAGAATGGTGGGATCAGTTCACAACTTGGAGATGTGTTTTATGCTCTACTTACTCTCAGTAACTCAACTTTTTCTGCCAGGGAGTTTCAGATCATACAGTCTGAATTGGAATGAAGCTAGGGGATCATCTAATCCAATTCATACTTAACAGGAATACCTTTCAATAATCTTGACAAGTGATCATTCAGATTCAACTTGAACACCTCCAGTAAAGAGAGCTTTCTACCTTCCCTAGCAGCCTGTTGCATTTTTCTGGCAAGCACATACTGTTGAAAAGTTAATTTTTATGTTTTTTAGCTTTCTCAGAGTCATGAGTTTAGATCTATCTATAAAGGCCCTCAGAGACCATCCCGGCCAAACCCCTCATTGTACAGTTGGTTAAATAGGTCCAGAAAGGTGACTTGCCCAAGGTCACACAGGTCATGAATGACAGAGCCAGGATTCCAACTCAGATTCTGTGACTCCAAGTTTACCATGTTGACCTCAAAAGAAAAACAGTCCTGACACCATAGGAAAGTCTAAAGGAATTTAGTTTCAGTTAAGGCTGAAGAGCCTTAGAAGGGCCAGGGAGTTCACAAGCTTGCGGTTTCTCCAGTTCCCTACCGTCCCGCCCCTGTTCATGCCCCTCTTGGGTTGTTCCAGGCGCGGAACTTCAGTTCTCAAGTCGGGCTGTAGAGGCCGCTGTCGTGCTCCTCTTACTCCGAAGGAAGAGACGATGCCTGGGATTGGTGGATGGAATTCGCGTTCTTAGCGTCCTCCGTCACATCCTTTGGAGGACGGAAGTCCCGCCTAGTGGACCGGGAAGTAGGAGCGGGCCGACATCGGGGCTGTGGGCGATGGGGATCGGGGAGACGGGGATCCTGGAGAGAGCTGGAGGTGTGAAGGTGCCGCCGCGGTAGGCCCGACTTGACCCGGCCTGGGCAGCGGACTCTGGAACGCAGAGGTGAGGAGGAGGCGGCGGCGGTCGTCCTGGACTGAGGCCCCGACCCCGCCGTCGCCTAGTTCCTGCTTCTTCAGCTCGACCAAGAGTGGGCTCCCGGGCCCTGGGACTGGAGACCCCCGGGGACCCTGGGGTGGAGGGCTGGAGTGAGAATCCTAGACCAGAGAGGCGCCCCCAGGAGCCCCTGCCCACACTGATCGACAGCCGGGGTCCCCGCAGGGATGGAGGGGTCGAAGTCATCGAGTAGCACCATGCAGGTGAGCTTCGTGTGCCAGCGCTGCAGCCAGCCCCTGAAACTAGACACGTCCTTCAAGATCCTAGACCAAGTCACCATCCGGGAGCTCACAGGTCTGGTTTTTTCTAGGAGTTTCCACGGGGGTGGTGGCGGGATGGAGGGCGGCATTGCGCTGAGGAGTGGACTAGTGACTGGTCACAAGCTTGCAGGACCTTGGACAAGTCATTTTGCCTGTGGGTTTTTGTTTTGTTTTGAGTAAAAGATAAGATGAGGTTAAGATGATTAAGGCTTCTTTCTTTTTTAATAAGTTCTGGAATGCCATAGAGTTTTTCCAACAAAAAAGGCACCTCTTTACTACTCTTGTGTTGAGTATGAAGTGGAGATAGTTTCAACAGTGGTGGAGAAAAGGATAAAAGTAGGAGAGGAGTGGAGTGAAAGTAATGGAAAATATTTAAATGACCTAAAATTGATGCAGGGGCAGGTATGTAAATGGAAACAAAATAGTTCCACCAACTGTAAATGGTATTCTAAAGGAAATGGGGGAAGGCTATCTTATATATTCACAGCTGGAGAAGCAGGAAACTTTCACTGATTGGAGTAATTTCTTCTCCCTTAGCTCCACTACTTACCACAGCTCAGACAAAGCCTGGAGAGACCCAGGAGGAAGAAACTAACTCAGGAGAGGTAATAGGGTTTATACTTTTCTCGAAGGTAGAATCCAGCCTGAGAAAACTATTCAGAGCTTCTGCTCAGCTGTAGTAGTCCTTTGAACCTACCCATACCCCTTTTATGGGAGGCATCCATTAGTGAGAAATATTCTACTTAAGGTATCTGTGAAACATTATTAGAAATGTATCCAAATCCCCTTGGTTACAGAGAAGTGGAAGACATAACAATTTGAGGGACCTCAAGTAATGGGATCCGGGGAGGTACTCTTCCATGAAGCGTCAGTAACACTTAAGATTGTTACTTGAATATTGGTGTTTTCTAACATAATTGGGGAACGACTCTATTAGTATTAGCTTTTAATACAAAAGACAGTAATGTGTGAACAAATTTTGCTTATAAACACATGAATTATCTATTTTATAGTTTACTGTGTTATTTTTAGTCATAGGCTGACTTGGTCTTACCAGCCCAATTCTAGGCAAACTTTTC